CAGCGGCTCCAGCGTCGTCGGCACCTCGTGCACCAGCCCCAGCACCCTCAAAACCGGCACTCCCAGCTCCAGGGACGTCAGCAGAAGCGCCTCCAGCGGCAGAGCCCCGAGCTCCAGCAGCGCGACCCTGACGGCGAGCGTACCACTCGTGCAGCTGCTGTGGGGAGAGAGGCGCACGCGGACGAAGGCGGCCACTCCAAGGAGACCGCGCACAAGCAGTCTCAGTACCCTCAGGCGCCGCACCCCCAGACTCAGCACCCCCAGGCTCCTCACGCTCAGGCTCAGCACCCCCAGACGCAACACTCCCAGGCATAGTACCTCCAGTCTCCTCACGCTCAGGCTCAGCACCTCCAGGCTCCGCACCCCCAGGCTCAGCACCCCCAGAGACAGCACCCCGAGCAGGACCACCCCCAGCAGGACCTGAGTCACCAGTGACCTCAACAGGCTCAGGCACAGGAGGGTCTACCTGAGAAACACCTGAAGGAGCAGGACCTGGCGCGGGGAGGGGGTCTACCTGGGGAGGACCTGGAGCGAGAAAGAGCGGAGGGGGGGGGCGAGCGGTAGTGCGGTAGGGAAAGAGACGGAAAAAGGGGACCGACTCGTCGAAGGTGACGTCCTGAGACGCAAAGACACGGCGCGAAGCGGGGTCGTAAAACTGCCAGCCAGGCGCGTCAGGAGGAAAACCAAGGAAGACGCAGGGAATGGCGCGAGCGGAGAGCTTGTCCGCGGTGGTATCGCGGACAAAGGCACGAGCACCCCAGACCCGGAAGCGCGACGCATTGCCAAACTCCCCGTCCACATCAGTGTGGGCGAGGTCTCCGGCAAGGAGACACGGGGCCAGAGGTTGAGCTGATGCGCGGCGTACCGGACCGCAAACGGCCACACAAAATGGGGGGCAGCCGCATGGATCATGGAGGTACGAGCGACCTCCATGACTAAGCCAATGCGGCGCTCAGCAACCCCATTCTGCTGCGGAGAGGCCGGAAGCGTGTGAACGACTGGCGGATGCCGTGCTCCTCACAGAAAGCTCGCAAGAGGTCGGAGGTGAACTCACCACCTTTGTCAGAGTGCAAACGCAGGACAGGAAAGTCCGACTGGAACCGCTCGCGGAGCTGGAGACGAACAGCGCGGATCCAGGGGATCAGAACATCAGGGACCTGACCCTTGCTGCGCAAGGGGAAGACCGTGGTGTAACGCGTGTAGTCGTCGACGACCAGCAGGAAGTACCGCTCGTGGCCCTGTCCCTGGACGCGGGCTGGGCCCCACATGTCCAGGTGGAGAGTCTGCAGTGGAGCCTCTGTGGGAGGGAACGAGGAGGAGTGAGGAGCGGCGCGCTGCCGCCCCTCGACGCAAGGAATGCAGGGCGGCGCAGGCGAGGGAGGAAGGGCAGGCAGAGACCTGGGAAGACCAGAGACCAGGAAGCGAGAGTGCATGCCACGAAGGCGGGGCAGGGAGGGGTGACCAAGGCGGTGGTGCCACAGGAGAGTGTCGTGCGACAGGCGGCGACACTCACACTGGGTAGCTACCTGAGCGGACGCGTACAGCTGAGGAGACACAGGGGTGTAGCGCGACACAGTGGTGAGGGTGTACAGACTGGACCCTGGCGCACGTGTGAACGTGGCCAGGTGGCGGCCAGTCCTAGAGCACGTACAGATCGCCACACGCTGTCCTCCAGGAGTAAAGGTGTCAACCCAATGATCCTGAAGGACGGCGTTGCTCACCAGGTTTGTAGAGAACGAGGGGATGTGGAGACCTGACAGCTCACCGGACGGGACCGCCGGACACGGGAGCACAGTATTGTACCGTGCAAGCACTGGGCCCTTAGAGGGGTCAGCCAGTGAGACCGGGACAGGTGGAGGGAGGGGAGTGACAGTGGTACTGTCGCGAAAGAAACAGCGGGAAGCACCTGAGTCAAGCGTGAAGGTGTGCAAGGCCTCAGTAGGCGCAGTACCAGAGAGAGCAGACTCACTAGCACCTAGAGCAGCAGCTGCTATACCAGGGTCAGGGGGCACACACAGGTAACAGTCACCCTCAGAAGTACCAGTCAGAGCATACATGGCAGTAAGGATAGTGTCATAGTCTAGAGCAAATATATCTACTCCGTCTCGAAGCAGCTCTAGCCAGAGGGGTAGCTCAGCCTCGTCGCCAAACCGTGCTCGCCAAGCGTCGCTCAGACGGGAGAAGCAGCGGGACTCTGTGTGACTAACGGTCCCACAGGTCTGACCAGCCCGATCACCTGTGCAAATGACGTACGGGCAGCGAGCAGTAGTCCTACACCCCCAACTCTGAGCGTACCACTCATGCAGCTGCCGGGGCGTAAGGGTCTCGCTCGGACGCCGCTGCAGCTGCATCTGGCCACCGCCAGGAACTCCGCACTGACCAGCTCCACCGCGACTGCCACGACGGCCGCCGCCAGCACACCACCTGGCGCACCTCTCACGAAGCTGTTGGGGCGTAAGGGTCTCGCGCGGACGCCGCTGCAGCTGCATCTGGCCAGCGCCAGACACTCCCCACCGAACAGCTCCACAGCGACTGCTACTACGGCCGCCACCACTCCCACTGCTGCCACCACCGCCGTCACCACTCCCACCGCTACTACGAAGGGAAGTCATAGCGGGTAAGCGAGGAGGCGCACGAGCAGCAGCACCAGCAGCAAGAGCAGTAGAGCGGCCTGGTGAGTCTAGGCTGCAGCACCTCTAGCACTCCTAGCAGCACCTCCACCAGTAGTAGTAGTAGTACGAGCAGGAGGGCGGATCGGGTCGGGTAGGGCGGCTCGGCTCGGCCTGGGCTGCGCGGGTAGCAGGGCGCGCGCTGTGTAGGGCAGCAGGGCGCGACGCGCGTGCTGCAGCAGGGCGCGACGCGCAGGGCAGCAGGGCGCGACGCGCGGGGCAGTAGCGCGCGACGCGCGGGCTGCCGTAGGGCGCGACACGCAGGCCAGCAGCGCGCGACGCGCGGGCTGCCGTAGGGCGCAATGGGCGGAGCAGCAGCGCGAGACGCGCGGGCTGCCGCAGGGCGCGACGCGCGGGGCAGCAGCGCGCGACGCGCGGGCTGCCGTAGGGCGCGACGCGCAGGGCAGCAGCGCGGGCGTAGGGCAGGGCGCTGGCGCAGGGCAGGGCGCCGGCGCAGGGCAGGGCGCTGGCGCAGGGCAGGGCGCTGGCGCAGGGCAGGGCGCTGGCGCAGGGCAGGGCGCTGGCGCAGGGCAGGGCGCTGGCGCAGGGCAGGGCGCTGGCGCAGGGCAGGGCGTCGGCGTAGGGCAGGGCGCTGGCGCAGGGCAGGGCAGGGCGTGCGCGGGGCAGCGCAACGCGGGGCAGCAGCAGGCAGCGCGAAGGCTGCAGGACGGCGCGCGTAGGGCAGCACGTCACGGAGGCTAGGCAGGGCGCGCGCGGGCGGCGCAACGCAGGCAAGGCAGGGCGCGCGCGGGCGGCGCAGCGCAGGCAAGACGTGGGGCAGCTCAGTAACCGCAGCGGTAGGTGGGCCCGAAAAAAAACGGTCCTACGGACCTACTGCTCTGAAACCATGTCGGACTCTACAGGCAGAAATGAACTAGATGAAAGTTGGGTACAAGTATGAAACCCTAAAGGGGCTATACCCCATATCAGCTACCCCACTACAGCCTACACATATAGAATAGATATATAGTTTGACAGGTATCAATGCCACCTATTCAGACTGGTACCGGTAAAGAGAGATGCCGACGAAGGAAACGTATTCGATACGAGGCTTACCTCAGATTACTAGCTCAACGACCATCACAGGAGCTGGCAACAACACAGTGTAGGAGCGTGCAAGCGTGGGCGCACATACGAGAAAATAATGTGTTGAGGACACATTGGAGACTATGGATAGCTTGTCACAACGAGAAACCAGCGTGCAATTTAGTCGTTTAGTCAGGGGAGAAGAGAGCGGACGTGAGTCGGCTCTCGCACCGAGTGCCGAGCAGCACCCGCTCAACAGCGTGACCCGAGCAAGTGTGGGCGACGTGCCCAAGCGCGCACAACGCTCAACAGCAAATCTAACTTGGGTAACCCGCCCACCACCATCTTATCATGGGCAAGTGTAGCAACTCATGCGATTTACCTACATTTGCGTGTCGCGCGCTAGTACGGAGCGCGCGTTTGGCTTGAAGACGTGCTGCTCAGCTATTGGCAAAACTGCGTGTGTGAGGAGTGTTGTTCAATAAAAAAACGTCTCTACATAAGCCATCTTTTATCGCCCTGCCGCGCGTTTCCTAGTTACATGAGTCTCCTAGTGAACTAGGAGTACTACTTGGTCTTCAAGATATGTGAGAGGAGATCAGGCCAACCGAGTTGGCGATGGCAGGATCTGTTGTGCGACTGGGCTCAGAAACCAATCAAGGTCGACCGTCACAAGAGTTTTTCCCTGCCTCGCGAGTTGTGTTTCAAACCAAAGAGGGTAACCCTGTATTTTGCGACTTCAGGTTCAAGAATCTTGAACTTGAAAAATACCATGCTGTACTCGGGCTTTAAAACCAAGGCGCACGAGCAGCAAGGGTTGGCCGACCAAATAACAAAAGCTTGGCAATGAAGATGCGGACAATCATGAAACAGTTAGTCATGCCAAGCTGCGGACAATCATGAATCAGTTAGTCAGGACTACACAGTGAACCACGCCGTTCGCCTGCAGAACACTGCACAAACTGAAAATTTAAAGATCGGGCACGATGGGATATTGGAATTTCGAAAGGTTTCGTAGCATATGAAATCCTGTATTTGCTCCCCCTCCACTCCTCCCCTTTTCATTGGGGATGGGAGCTTCTCTTTGTCAATGGAGCTGACCTCACCCATGCCCCCCCTCCCCTCTCCTTCTGCCCCCTCCCCTCTCCTCCCCCCCCCCTCCCCTCTCCTTCCACCCCCTTCCCCAGTTCGCATGCTCAAGTCCAAAAATTAAACCCACGCACACATATTTTTAAAAAATGACAGTGTACCTGTGTAAAGCAGTGGTCAATATTATTATTTACAAAACAGAACAACACTCTAGGGTTAAAGGCGAGAGGTAGGGCGGCCCTCTGTTCCAACAAGCCCCCGAGGTGGAGGCGTGGTGGCAGGCATGGTGGGATGGCTTTGGGTGAAGTGGTCTCGCAGCACACGGCGCATGACCTTGTTGGATGCATTGCGGGGGAGCGATGGCACCACCCACACAGCTGCCACCTGTGGGAGGAGAGGAGATGGAGAGAGAGTGGCTTAGTGAATGTACGTGATGGCATGCCACAGGGTGAGGTACTTGAGCATGTGTGAGGTAGAGGGTCTTGTCTTGTGGCATGTGCGAGGTAGAGGGTCTTGTCTTGTGGCATGTGCGTGCATGCATGCGTGTGTGCCAGGCGACCACAGACGGTTAAAACTCAACAGCCATGGATGCTAGGCATGTGTGGGCATGTGTGGGCATGTGTGGGCATGTGTGGGCATGTGTGGGCATGTGTGGGCATGTGTGGGCATGTGTGGGCATGTGTGGGCATGTGTGGGCATGTGTGGGCATGTGTGGGCATGTGTGGGCATGTGTGGGCATGTGTGGGCATGTGTGGGCATGTGTGGGCATGTGTGGGCATGTGTGGGCATGTGTGGGCATGTGTGGGCATGTGTGGGCATGTGTGGGCATGTGTGGGCATGTGTGGGCATGTGTGGGCATGTGTGGGCATGTGTGGGCATGTGTGGGCATGTGTGGGCATGTGTGGGCATGTGTGGGCATGTGTGGGCATGTGTGGGCATGTGTGGGCATGTGTGGGCATGTATGGACATGTGTGGGCATGTATGGGCATGTGTGGGCATGTGTGGGCATGTGTGGGCATGTGTGGGCATGTGTGGGCATGTGTGGGCATGTATAGGCATGTGTGGGCATGTATGGGCATGTGTGGGCATGTGTGGGCATGTGTGGGCATGTGTGGGCATGTGTGGGCATGTGTGGGCATGTGTGGGCATGTGTGGGCATGTGTGGGCATGTGTGGGCATGTGTGGGGCATGTATGGGCATGTGTGGGCATGTGTGGGCATGTGTGGGCATGTGTGGGCATGTATGTGCATGTATGTGCATGTATGTGCATGTATGTGCATGTATGTGCATGTATGAACATGTGTGGGCATGTGTGGGCATGTGTGGGCATCTATGGGCATGTGTGGGCATGTGTGGGCATGTGTGAGCTTGTGTGGGCATGTGTGGGCATGTGTGGGCATGTGTGGGCATGTGTGGGCATGTGTGGGCATGTGTGGGCATGCGTGAGCATGTGTGGGCATGTGTGGGCATGTGTGGGCATGTGTGGGCATGTGTGGGCATGTGTGGGCATGTGTGGGCATGTGTGGGCATGTGTGGGCATGTGTGGGCATGTGTGGGCATGTGTGGGCATGTGTGGGCATGTGTGGGCATGTGTGGGCATGTGTGGGCATGTGTGGGCATGTGTGGGCATGTGTGGGCATGTGTGGGCATGTGTGGGCATGTGTGGGCATGTGTGGGCATGTGTGGGCATGTGTGGGCATGTGTGGGCATGTGTGGGCATGTGTGGGCATGTGTGGGCATGTGTGGGCATGAATAGGCATGTGTGGGCATGTATGGGCATGTGTGGGCATGTGTGGGCATGTGTGGGCATGTGTGGGCATGTGTGGGCATGTGTGGGCATGTGTGGGCATGTGTGGGCATGTGTGGGCATGTGTGGGCATCTATGGGAATGTGTGGGCATGTGTGGGCATGTATGGGCTTGTATGGGCATGTATGGGCATGTATGGGCATGTATGGGCATGTATGAACATGTGTGGGCATGTGTGGGCATGTGTGGGCATGTGTGGGCATGTATGGGCACGTGTGGGCATGTATGGGCATGTGTGAGCTTGTGTGGGCATGTATGGGCATGTATGGGCATGTGTGAGCTTGTGTGGGCATGTGTGGGCATGTGTGGGCATGTGTGGGCATGTGTGGGCATGTGTGGGCATGTGTGGGCATGTGTGGGCATGTGTGGGCATGTGTGGGCATGTGTGGGCATGTGTGGGCATGTGTGGGCATGTGTGGGCATGTGTGGGCATGTGTGGGCATGTGTGGGCATGTGTGGGCATGTGTGGGCATGTGTGGGCATGTGTGGGCATGTGTGGGCATGTGTGGGCATGTGTGGGCATGTGTGGGCATGTGTGGGCATGTGTGGGCATGTGTGGGCATGTGTGGGCATCTGCGGGCATGTGTGGGCATGTGTGGGCATGTGTGGGCATGTGTGGGCATGTGTGGGCATGTGTGGGCATGTGTGGGCATGTGTGGGCATGTGTGGGCATGTGTGGGCATGTGTGGGCATGTGTGGGCATGTGTGGGCATGTGTGGGCATGTGTGGGCATGTGTGGGCATGTGTGGGCATGTGTGGGCATGTGTGGGCATGTGTGGGCATGTGTGGGCATGTGTGGGCATGTGTGGGCATGTGTGGGCATGTGTGGGCATGTGTGGGCATGTGTGGGCATGTGTGGGCATGTGTGGGCATGTCTGGCCATGTGTGGGCATGTGTGGGCATGTGTGGGCATGTGTGGGCATGTGTGGGCATGTGTGGGCATGTGTGGGCATGTGTGGGCATGTGTGGGCATGTGTGGGCGTGTCTGGGCATGTCTGGGCATGTGTGGGCATGTATGGGCATGTGTGGTCATGTGTGGGCATGTGTGGGCATGTGTGGGCATGTGTGGGCATGTGTGGGCATGTGTGGGCATGTGTGGGCATGTGTGGGCATGTGTGGGCATGTGTGGGCATGTGTGGGCATGTGTGGGCATGTGTGGGCATGTGTGGGCATGTGTGGGCATGTGTGGGCATGTGTGGGCATGTGTGGGCATGTGTGGGCATGTGTGGGCATGTGTGGGCATGTGTGGGCATGTGTGGGCATGTGTGGGCATGTGTGGGCATGTGTGGGCATGTGTGGGCATGTGTGGGCATGTGTGGGCATGTGTGGGCATGTGTGGGCATGTGTGGGCATGTGTGGGCATGTGTGGGCATGTGTGGGCATGTGTGGGCATGTGTGGGCATGTGTGGGCATGTGTGGGCATGTGTGGGCATGTGTGGGCATGTGTGGGCATGTGTGGGCATGTGTGGGCATGTGTGGGCATGTGTGGGCATGTGTGGGCATGTGTGGGCATGTGTGGGCATGTGTGGGCATGTGTGGGCATGTGTGGGCATGTGTGGGCATGTGTGGGCATGTGTGGGCATGTGTGGGCATGTGTGGGCATGTGTGGGCATGTGTGGGCATGTGTGGGCATGTGTGGGCATGTGTGGGCATGTGTGGGCATGTGTGGGCATGTGTGGGCATGTGTGGGCATGTGTGGGCATGTGTGGGCATGTGTGGGCATGTGTGGGCATGTGTGGGCATGTGTGGGCATGTGTGGGCATGTGTGGGCATGTGTGGGCATGTGTGGGCATGTGTGGGCATGTGTGGGCATCTGTGGTCATGTGTGGGCATGTGTGGTCATGTGTGGGCATGTGTGGGCACGTGTGGGCATGTGTGGGCATGTGTGGGCATGTGTGGGCATGTGTGGGCATGTGTGGGCATGTGTGGGCATGTGTGGGCATGTGTGGGCATGTGTGGGCATGTGTGGGCATGTGTGGGCATGTGTGGGCATGTGTGGGCATGTGTGGGCATGTGTGGGCATGTGTGGGCATGTGTGGGCATGTGTGGGCATGTGTGGGCATGTGTGGGCATGTGTGGGCATGTGTGGGCATGTGTGGGCATGTGTGGGCATGTGTGGGCATGTGTGGGCATGTGTGGGCATGTCTGGCCACGTGTGGGCATGTATGGCCACGTGTGGGCATGTATGGGCATGTGTGGGCATGTGTGGGCATGTGTGGGCATGTGTGGGCATGTGTGGGCATGTGTGGGCATGTGTGGGCATGTGTGGGCATGTGTGGGCATGTGTGGGCATGTGTGGGCATGTGTGGGCATGTGTGGGCATGTGTGGGCATGTGTGGGCATGTGTGGGCATGTATGGACATGTGTGGGCATGTATGGGCATGTATGGGCATGTGTGGGCATGTGTGGGCATGTGTGGGCATGTGTGGGCATGTGTGGGCATGTGTGGGCATGTGTGGGCATGTGTGGGCATGTGTGGGCATGTGTGGGCATGTGTGGGCATGTGTGGGCATGTGTGGGCATGTGTGGGCATGTGTGGGCATGTGTGGGCATGTGTGGGCATGTGTGGGCATGTGTGGGCATGTGTGGGCATGTATGGCCATGTGTGGGCATGTATGGGCATGTATGGGCATGTGTGGGCATGTGTGGGCATATATGGGCATGTGTGGGCATGTGTGGTCATGTGTGGGCGTGTGTGGGCATGTCTGGGCATGTATGGGCATGTGTGGGCATGTATGGGCATGTGTGGTCATGTGTGGGCATGTATGGGCATGTATGGGCATGTGTGGGCATGCGTGGGCATGTATGGGCATGTGTGGGCATGTGTGGTCATGTGTGGGCGTGTGTGGGCATGTCTGGGCATGTGTGGGCGTGTGAATTGGAGAGGGGAGTCCCGGCAACAGATAAAGCGGGGTTAATTAGGTTAGACGACCCATACAAAGAGAGCATCACACCTTGAAGAGCGGATTCAGCTGGGCCTGGAGAGCAGCAGAAAACACCTTCCTCAGATCATCCTCTGACACCACCCTCCCCCCCGCCCCATTCTCCCCTTCACTCCTCTCTCCCCTCTCCCCCACCGCTCCCCCTCCTCGCATCACTGCTACCACCACCAGCTCCTCTGGCCCGCCGCCACGTGGCGCGACGCCAATGGCTGCTGTCTCTGACACGGCAGGGTGGGCTGTGTTGCACACCCGCTCCACCTCCACCGACCCCACCTGTCAGGGGGATTGGGATTGGAATCAGATTTTGGATCGGGACCCAACGGCCCACCTTCCCCCCCAACGGCCCACCTTCCCCCCCAAACGGCCCACCTTCCCCCCCAACGGCCCACCTTCCCCCCCAACGGCCCACCTTCCCCCCCAACGGCCCACCTTCCCCCCCAACGGCCCACCTTGACGCCGCCGAGGTTCATGGTGTCGTCGGTGCGGCCGTGTGCGCGCCAGTAGCCCCCCGCCCCCCACTCCACCGCATCCCCATGCCGCCGCAGCCGCTGGGGGGGGAAGCACAAGGGATGGGTGGTGGGGTGATGAGTGCATGGGTTGATGGGGGCATGTGGTGATGGGGGCATGTGGTGGTGAGAAAATACGGCTGAAACAAACGCCAAGAATGGTCCACAGACGCATGAGCAATGCAGGCGGGGAGAAACCTGCTTCGGAATCTACACGTGGGGTGGGGAGGCACGTGGGTGGGGAGGCACGTGGGTGGGGAGGCACGTGGGTGGGGAGGCACGTGGGTGGGGAGGCACGTGGGTGGGTAGGGAAAGGAAGTCGTTGGGTTGGGGGCGCACCTGGGTTGGGGGCGCACCTGGGTTGGGGGCGCACCTGGCCGTGAAACTCCGGCATGCCTTCAAAGTAGACCCTGTAGTGATCCGCGTTCAGAAGCTTCCACGAAGCTCCCAGCATGCGAGGCATGAGCGCACACTCCCCCATGAGCCAATCCCCGCCCTCCATTCCACCAGCACCCCCGCCACCTCCCTTCCTCCACTCCCCAGGATCCACCACTCTCGCTCCCCCACCACTACCCCCTTCCACTCCCTCACCCCCGTCCCCCTCCGCACCCAGCAGCACCGCTCTGCACCCCATGGCGGGGGTGCTGAAGCAGGAGAGCGCCTGGGACTGCAGCAGGGAGGCGGTGAGGAAGGCCCCGGCGATCTCAGTGCCCCCGCAGTACTCCAGCACGGGCGCTCGGTAGCAGGCGCGTGCCATGAGCCACAGGTAGTCCGATGGCAGCGAGGCCTCTCCTGTGGAGGAGAAGACACTGGCAGGTGGGGGTGGTGGGGGAGGAGGGAGGGTAAAGAAATATGGGATATGGACAGGAAAGCAAAGAATGGTGTGAGATAGAGCAAGAGATTGTTGAAAGGGAGAGAGAAGGGAGTAGTGACCTCTCAGTGCACGAGCACAGGGGCACGGGTGATCTCTGATTTGAGCAGAGAATGAGGGGAGCGAGCAGGGCAGGAGTGGGCGTTGTGTTTGCAAGCTGGTTGACCCATAGCTGGTTGACCCATAGCTGGTTGACCCATAGCTGGTTGACCCATAGCTGGTTGACCCATAGCTGGTTGACCCATAGCTGGTTGACCCATAGCTGGTTGACCCATAGCTGGTTGACCCATAGCTGGTTGACCCATAGCTGGTTGACCCATAGCTGGTTGACCCATAGCTGGTTGACCCATAGCTGGTTGACCCATAGCTGGTTGACCCATAGCTGGTTGACCCATAGCTGGTTGACCCATAGCTGGTTGACCCATAGCTGGTTGACCCATAGCTGGTTGACCCATAGCTGGTTGACCCATAGCTGGTTGACCCATAGCTGGTTGACCCATAGCTGGTTGACCCATAGCTGGTTGACCCATAGCTGGTTGACCCATAGCTGGTTGACCCATAGCTGGTTGACCCATAGCTGGTTGACCCATAGCTGGTTGACCCATAGCTGGTTGACCCATAGCTGGTTGACCCATAGCTGGTTGACCCATAGCTGGTTGACCCATAGCTGGTTGACCCATAGCTGGTTGACCCATAGCTGGTTGACCCATAGCTGGTTGACCCATAGCTGGTTGACCCATAGCTGGTTGACCCATAGCTGGTTGACCCATAGCTGGTTGACCCATAGCTGGTTGACCCATAGCTGGTTGACCCATAGCTGGTTGACCCATAGCTGGTTGACCCATAGCTGGTTGACCCATAGCTGGTTGACCCATAGCTGGTTGACCCATAGCTGGTTGACCCATAGCTGGTTGACCCATAGCTGGTTGACCCATAGCTGGTTGACCCATAGCTGGTTGACCCATAGCTGGTTGACCCATAGCTGGTTGACCCATAGCTGGTTGACCCATAGCTGTGCCTCTCTCACCGAGCGTGCAACCAATCAACCCCCGCTCACCGAATGTGTGACCAATCACAGCCGTTGGTGCAGCCTGAAGCCTTCCAGGAGCGCACGAGGCTGGGCACCACCCCCAGCACCGTCACGCGCGCGTCCTGCTAGCACAAGAGGCGTGTGCGGTTTGGGAGAGGGGGGGAGTGGGAGCAGGGGAAGTGTTGGGCGATGGGGGTTAGGCGGTGCCCCTGGCCTTCCACGAGCACACGAGGCTGGGCACCACCCCCAGCACCGTCACGCGCGCGTCGTGCTCGCCACAGGGACGTGAGCAGCAGGGAAGGGTCGGAGAGTGGGAGCAGGCAGGGTGGAGGAGAGGGGGCGAGAGAGGGGTGGAGGAGAGGGGGCGAGAGAGGGGTGGAGGAAAGGGGGCGAGAGAGGGGTGGAGGAGAGGGGGCGAGAGAGGGGTGGAGGAGAGGGGGCGAGAGAGGGGTGGAGGAGAGGGGGCGAGAGAGGGGTGGAGGAGAGGGGGCGAGAGAGGGGTGGAGGAGAGGGGGCGAGAGAGGGGTGGAGGAGAGGGGGCGAGAGAGGGGTGGAGGAGAGGGGGCGAGAGAGGGGTGGAGGAGAGGGGGCGAGAGAGGGGGGAGGAGAGGGGGCGAGAGAGGGGTGGAGGAGAGGGGGCGAGAGAGGGGTGGAGGAGAGGGGGCGAGAGAGGGGTGGAGGAGAGGGGGCGAGAGAGGGGTGGAGGAGAGGGGGCGAGAGAGGGGTGGAGGAGAGGGGGCGAGAGAGGGGTGGAGGAGAGGGGGCGAGAGAGGGGTGGAGGAGAGGGGGCGAGAGAGGGGTGGAGGAGAGGGGGCGAGAGAGGGGTGGAGAGAGGGGGCGAGAGAGGGGTGGAGGAGAGGGGGCGAGAGAGGGGTGGAGGAGAGGGGGCGAGAGAGGGGTGGAGGAGAGGGGGCGAGAGAGGGGTGGAGGAGAGGGGGCGAGAGAGGGGTGGAGGAGAGGGGGCGAGAGAGGGTGGAGGAGAGGGGGCGAGAGAGGGGTGGAGGAGAGGGGGCGAGAGAGGGGTGGAGGAGAGGGGGCGAGAGAGGGGTGGAGGAGAGGGGGCGAGAGAGGGGTGGAGGAGAGGGGGCGAGAGAGGGATGGAGGAGAGGGGGCGAGAGAGGGGTGGAGGAGAGGGGGCGAGAGAGGGGTGGAGGAGAGGGGGCGAGAGAGGGGTGGAGGAGAGGGGGCGAGAGAGGGGTGGAGGAGAGGGGGCGAGAGAGGGGTGGAGGAGAGGGGGCGAGAGAGGGGTGGAGGAGAGGGGGCGAGAGGGGGTGGAGGAGAGGGGGCGAGAGAGAGGGGTGGAGGAGAGGGGGCGAGAGAGGGGTGTTGGGCCATGGAGGCCCTGGGTGGCGACTGGCCCCCAAGTGCTTGGGTGCTGCCGTGTGCTTCCCCTTGCTGCGCTTGCTCTCCGCTACTGCGCACTTCATGACCTGCCCTGCTCAAGTCCCCACACCAAGCTAAGTACAGCAAGCACATGAAGCACATCCCCAAGCACATATGCTCAACTGTGTCACATCCATGCAGGTCTGTGAGGCGCTGCAAAGTGCAATGGCAGAGCAGAGCAGCACGGAGAAGGCAAAAGCCCATCATGCACTCGCCCGTCATGCACTGTCATCTGCACACCCCACTGTTCTCACCTGCACGAAGCGAGCGAATCCTTGGGTGAGAGGCGAGCCATTGAAGAGAGCGATAGTGGCGCGGTTGAGCAGAGCGGCGAAGAGCAGCCACGGGCCCATCATCCACCCCAGACTCGTTGGCCAGCACACCACGTCGCCTCCCACCACCCGCTTATGTTGCTGCCGCTGCTGCTGCTGCTGCTGTGAATTGCCATGTCGCTCCCTCTCACTCCCCTCTGCCCCCTGTGTGGAGCGCCGCATGCCCCTGAGGTCGTGGTGCGCCCAGGCATCTGCAGCAGCCTTGATGGCTGACAGGGCTGACCATGGGATGGCCTTGGGGGTGCCTGCAGCACGCATGCATGCATGCATGCACGGATGGATGGACAGTTAGGATGGGCAGTATGGCGTGGAGTGGCGTGGCATGGCGTGGCGTGGCATGGCGTGGCGTGGCGTGGCGTGGCGTGGCTGTATGGGAGAATAGTCTAGCAGAGCGAATAGGCAAGACACGAGCAAGAGCAGCAGAGCTGTGCGATGACTGGGAGCATGAAGCACACATGAGAGGCTGAAGGAGAGGTCAAGAGAGGGCACGGCTCATGCCATGTGTGGGCAACACAGGGCCGAACATGATGGCCGCACAGGTGCAGCTATCACTCACCACCTACCCACCACCCAGCACCACCCAGCACCCAGTATCCAGCACCCATGACGCATGAGAGCAGGCAGCACCCACCAGTGGTGCCGGAGGAGAAAAGAATGTTGATAGTGGCGTCCACTGGCATGCTGACACATGGCACGCTGTGAGTGGCGGAGGCAGGAGGCACGCAGCAGGGAGGGCAGAGGGAGTGCACGTTGAGCCCTGAGATTGCCAGCGCATGGAATGAGAGGTGCTGGACGGCAGGGAATGAGAGGTGCTGGACGGCAGGGAATGAGAGGTGCTGGACGGCAGGGAATGAGAGGTGCTGGAAGGCAGCTCTGGGGAACACACAGCAAGTCAAGAGATGCATGCAGCCAAGCATTCATCAGCATGAATGTGCTCATCCCATAACCGGGCAGCACCGCACTGCACCTGCTGGTGCCTCTCTCTGTTGCTCTCTGCTGCCCCTCAGCCAGGAAGCTGCTCCACCACACGTCGCCCTCTCTCAACGCGACACGTGGCGCTCCCTCAGTGGCTGGCAGCACAATGGCGGGCGGCGCACCCGCGTCCACCACCCGGCTGGCCATGACAATGAGGGGCGAGTGGAGGGATGAGGGACGAGGGAGGGAGGAGGGACGAGGGAGGGAGGAGGGACGAGGGAGGGAGGAGGGACGAGGGAGGGAGGAGGGACGAGGGAGGGAGGAGGGACGAGGGAGGGAGGAGGGACGAGGGAGGGAGGAGGGACGAGGGAGGGAGGAGGGACGAGGGAGGGGCAACGGGAGAGGAATGAGTGGAGGCGGGCAGACAGCGTGGGGGGCAGCGAGGCTGGAGGGGGGAGAGGCGGGGGGCGAGGAGAGGCGGGGGGCGAGGAGACGGTGCAGGAAGGCGGGCAGCATGGGCATGGGGAGAGAGGTGGCACCATGATGAGACAGGCGGCAGAGATGGGAGGGAGGGGCAGGAAGAAAGAAGCTGTAGCAGAGCAGTGACAGAGAGGTGAGGGCCTGCGTGCAGCAGGCATGGCGGTACCTACGTGTAGAGTGGCAGCAGCTTTCCGCCACGTGGAATGAAGTCCTGCGAGGGGAAACCGAGGAGAGAGAAGGACGCACAGGGAGGACGAGGAGCAGAGAACGGTGTAGAGGGGTTTGAGCAGGCGAGGAGAGACGGATGGAAAGTGGTGACGGGGCTATCGAGTCAGCAGCAGCCCCACTCGCCCACACCCTGCGTGCTGATTCACCCTCCACATTACCCGCCATCCCCAAACCACCCTCTCCCCTTCTCCAGGCAAGCAGCATCCCCCGAACGCACTCAGTCACGCCCACCTGTCACTCCCCTGTGCATCCGTGGCCCCTCTGTCACCCATGCGCCCATGGCCCTCACTCCTCGCCCCACCTGTGTGCACCTCACCTCACCCACCTGTGTGACGATCGCCTTGGCTTCCGCAATTTCCAGGCGAGCAACCATTTCACGGGCAGAGACGCTGTGAGCAATGGACACCACAGGCGCTCCCAGCAGCAACACTCTCCCAGCAGCAACACGCCCCCAGCAGCAGCACTCTCCCAGCAGCAGCACTCTCCCAGCAGCAGCACTCTCCCAGCAGCAGCACTCTCCCAGCAGCAGCACTCTCCCAGCAGCAGCACTCTCCCAGCAGCAGCACTCTCCCAGCAGCAGCACTCTCCCAGCAGCAGCACTCTCCCAGCAGCAGCACTCTCCCAGCAGCAGCACTCTCCCAGCAGCAGCACTCTCCCAGCAGCAGCACTCTCCCAGCAGCAGCACTCTCCCAGCAGCAGCACGCCCCCAGCAGCAGCACGCCCACCCCTGCCTTCCTGTCAGCATGTGGCCACCACAGCTCTCGCTCCTCACCCCACCCACCTGTGTGATGACCGCCTTGGCCTTGGAAATCCCCAAGCGAGAGGCCATGTCATGTCATGTCATGTTGCGAGCAGAGAAGCCGTCAGCGATGGACACCACGGCTGCACCAACCAGCAGCACTCAGCCCCCACCCCAGCAACAGCACGCCCGCCCCTGCCTCCCTGTCAACGAGTGTGGCCACACCCCTCACTCCTCGCCCCACCCACCTGTGTGACAATGGCCTTGGCCCTGGCAATCTTCAAACGAGCAGCGATCTCGCGAGCAGAGAAGCTGTCAGCGATGGACACCACGGCTGCACCAATCAGCAGCACGCCCAGGTAGGCCGCCAGGGAGTGCACCGTCATGGGCAGCGCCAGTGCCACAGGGTCGCCTGGGCCGATGCCACGTGCTTGCAGGGACTGGGCGACCGAGCTGGGTGCGATGGGAGAGAGGGTGGTTGAGAGGAGCTGGAAACGGTTGTGTGGGTGGATGCTGCATAGCTGATATGAGGGGGTGTTGGGAGAAATGGGCGTCAGATGCAGGGGGGGCTGACAGAGACTGGCATCTTCCCAGCTCTCATGCGCCCGCCCACTCACACTGCTCGCTGCCTCAGCTCGCCAAGGGTCATGTGCCGCACCCGTGCCCCCTCCTCCCACTCGTCCCGCCACACCACCGCCACCCTCTCCCCCTCCTGCTCCCCCTCCCGCTCCCCCTCCCGCTCCCCCCTTGCTTCCCCCGCACTCTCCCCCCCATTCCCTCTCCCCCAACTGCCAAAACCGCCCAGGCAACTCTCTGCAATGTTTAGCTCTGCCCCGACCAACCAGCGCCCTCCGGGCAGCTGAAGGCGTTCCTTGGGATCCTCGGGCAGGGAAAAGATCTTCTGAGGGGGCTTGTGGAAGATGATGCCCAGGTGGCGGAGAACGATTGGCCAGTACAGCTGACGCACGGAGGTAAGGGAGGGGAAGGAGAGCAGCAGAGGGGTAAAGAGGAGCACTGTGGGGCACAGAGGGGCACAGAAGGGCACAGAGGGGCAGAAAGGGCACCGTGGACGAGTAATTTTGTCTCTTCTCACCTATGTTAACAACAAAGGCTCTCTCATATCATCCCCTGCTGACGTCACTGTGTGACCCACCCACCTCTGGTCGGTCGTACGAGAGTCGCTGCAACAGCAGGAAGTCACCCGGCAGGTCTACAGGCCCGTGGGCGGGCTTTCCGAGAAGCTTCCTGCCCTCGCTGCTATCCAGAAGGCGGCCTAAATTGGTTTGCCGCGCCTCCTCCCTGCGTGGATGGGGCGGGCCGAGCATTGGGGGGGGGAGAGAAACGGGGTGGAGAGGGGGAGAGGCACAGGGAAGGCATGTCAGACGCGTGTGAGGTGGGATTTCGCGAAGGCGGAGCGTTGAAGCTTCCTTAGAAAAAGGTCAGCGGGGTGAGCAAGGGAAGGAGTGGGGGGAGGCAGAGAGGGAGGAAGAAGGGGAACCACGGGGGTGTCTAGCAAGGCGGCGGCTCAATGCAGGGAGATGCAGCAGTGCGTGAGAGGCGATGCAGAGGCGCAGGGAGACGAGGGGGGGCTGCTGTATCACTGCGACCAGACGGCGTGCCACCAAGCCGGGGCCGTGAGTGAATTGGAGCGCCGCAGGACGCCGTGCCAGCGAGGCAAGGCGCCACCCGCGCCACGCGCGCCGCCCGCGCCAACAGCGCCATCCGCACCATCTGCGCTATCTGCGGCATCTGCGCCATCCGCGCCGCCCGTATTATCTGTGTCCAGTGAGTCTTGGCTTACCGCGTCGGCGTCCACACTGGCGGCGGTCCGAGCGCGCGCTCGCGCCACGTGGCGAAGGCGGACGCGTAGAGAAGCTCGTGCACGGGGAACGGCACGTCGGGCCGCAGCAGCGAACGCGCCACATGCTGCCACGTGGCGGGAATTGAGAGGCCGTTTACTGCGCAGGAGTGGAGCAGGGCGGTGAGGGCGCGGAGGAACGGCTCGGCGCGCTGTGGGGGAAGGCCCGCCGCGGTGAGATGCGGAAGCGCGAGCGCAGCGAGCGGAGGAACCGACGAGGGTTGGCTCAGGGGAGGGGGAGGGGGGGTCGATCCAGATGGCGCCATGGCCGTCGAATATTGGCGCGCAACGGGTGGAAACAAGAGTTATGGTGGGCTTCTATCTGTGGCGACTAACGACGGCGGAAAATGGCGGTAACGACGAGAAATTCGACGACGACTGTCAGGAAGGGGAAGGGGAAGTGAATGTATTCTTGCGAGGATTAGTCCTGTGCCGTGGGGGAATCGAGGAAGCGAGTGGGTGGGGGAAAAAGCGGAAAAGGGGGGAGGGACGAGGGGAGTGTCACCATTGGCTGTCCGAATCGCCTCGTTGCCAGTTCAACTGATGCCACATGTCTGAACGTGAATGACTGCGCAACAAGTGCTGACGTTTCGCCACGTCTTTCTGACATCATAAGGGCGTGTAATATCAGTTCACTTCATTACGGTGGAAAAAGGTTTTGTGCGTAACAGAGCGGCTGTTTTGCTGTTTTTTGCGTTCGGGTAGGGTTTCGAGCAAAATAGAACCCCATATGAGACGCCTTAAGTGCTTCTTTCGCGAGCTCTTTATTGGGTTGCGTAACAACCCTAAATAATTGGTTTCACTTTTTGGGGATATCATTTCAAGAGTGTATTTTTAAGCACTTTTTGGGGAACCCCGCTTGAACTTTTTGCACGTTGTTCAAGAGAATGCCTCAAATAGTGGATAAAAATCACTCGTGAATGAGATATCCTAAAAGAGAAACCAATTACGTATCATGTTGAAACCATGATTTTGTTCCGACCGTCCCATCATCGTCGATTAATATGGTGGATGGTACGATCGAACATGGCATCAACATGAGCGAAAACATTTATACAAATGAACACGGAATGAAATGAGGTGCGAATGCTTCAAGAGATGTTAGACTTTATCAATGTAGCAACAGCGATTGATGGGGCCATTGAAACAGCGAATACACGCTGCCCCAACGACGATGACAACCTCTAGTTGCATACACGATGCAATGCAACACCTTGCCTTGAAACACACACATCTCACAAACACGAAATGCACGTTACAAAAGTTGTGAAGACATCTGTTACAATCTGAAGTGGGACTTAACGAAACAAGGATCGTTCAGGGTTGATCGCATGTAGTGTTGCAGCGGAAGTAGTGAACTCAGGTCAGAGTGAATGTAAAATGACTGAGATGATAATAGCATGCATACATAGGGTTTATATAGAAATACAAAGGAATGCGAAACGATCTAGACTAGCCATGTACTCTAAGGGGTACATTCCCTTATTGCAGCGAAATTCAAACCGTGCGGCGCGGGAACCAGTTTCAAACCTGTTCCCGCTCTTTTCATTTCAAATGTCTCTGCATGCATCGGTCTCGATCAGGCGGTTGCTGTGTCGCTTCGATTCTTCTGACTCCTCGTCTTCGTACTCGGTAGAGTCGGCTCCTGCAGCGTACAGGAATGCCTTCTCATTGAACTTCGTATCGTAACACTCCCCTTCATTCCTGGACGCGAAGGGTGCTGACTCGCTTGACCACTCCAGTGAGATCAGAGCAGTGTTTGAACTGCTGACGTGGCAGCCGCTTGGTAAGGAAGTCGGCTGCCATTTCAGTGGTCGGGCAGTATGCGAGGTCAACTTTGCCCTGGTCGATTTCGTCTTTGACGAAGAAGTACCGCAGTGCGATGTGCTTTTTGAGGTTCACGAACAAGGCTGACGTTTCAGAGTAGGCCTCCCTGATTCCGGGGAAAAAATTTCCCCTCTATTATGAGTGCACATTTTTCAGAATGATGCTACCCTGATTGCTCAAGGTTGAAAAGTATGTAACTCTGATTGTTCAGGGTCGAAAATCGAAGATCAGAGTAGTAACGCGCCATTAGTATCGCTTTGTGTTAAGGACGCGGCACCTCTAGTTTTTTTGCAAGATCGATCGCAGGATCGTTGTTTGCACCGCACTGAAATCCTCTGAGAGCATTTAAAATTCCCAACACCATTTTGAACTCCGCAAAATTTCGATCCTGCGCAGGATCGATCGCAGGATCGGTGCTGCAGGTGCCGCGTCATAAGTCTGCGCTCTATGTTGTCAGAGGTCCACTGGTGATCCTCGATTGATCCTAAAGAAGGGTTACAGGCATGTTGGCCTGGGGGGTTATGAGTGCACTCACCCGCTATACAAACAAGCCCTTTTATCCCAGTGGTTAGTGGCTGGGATTCTGACATGGTATCAGAGCGAAGGTCTCGGGTTCGAATCCCGGTGTGTGCACCTCGGGCATCCCAGTGCGGGGGGGTGTCAGAGGTCCACTGGTGATCCTCGATTGATCCTAAAGAAGGGTTACAGGCATGTTGGCCTGGGGGGTTATGAGTGCACTCACCCGCTATACAAACAAGCCCTTTTATCCCAGTGGTTAGTGGCTGGGATTCTGACATATGTTTCGCGCACACCTTGTGCGCGCTAATTTCTACCCGTTTTGTTTTACAAAACAGTATTTATCCACACGTTTTAGCGCGCGGAAGAGACGAGCGATTTCGGTCAACCAAACATTTCGATTCGATACCACAGATGTGCCAAATTTTTAATTCGTCGAGTACCTGAATGTCGCCAGTATCGCTGTGCGAAACGCAAAAAATGTCTGGTAACTTCACACACACGCAATTACGACAGTAGAACGACCTATTCGGAATGCGTGAACGTATCGAATATTGAGTGTACTCAACTGTCAGACATGCTACTGTCCGTCGCTCACGCGCTGGCTGTCCCGCGATCAATCCGAAGGGGGATATCGGAAGGAAATTTCCAGGAACCTTCGTCCCGATACCCTCGCATTCAGGGTACACAAGACGCGTACTCTACATTGACAGTGTCAGTAAGAACACTACTCTGAGCCTGGATACAAGATTTCAGGGTTCGCTAAAGTCCTTATCTGAATGGATCAGAGTTCACAAGTCACAAATTCTGAAATGGCAGGGACCACCAAGTGACAAGCCTGTAATCACCCTGAAATCAGGGTAATTACCCTGATAAAATCAGCCCTGTTCACGAACCCAGGCTTGTTCGCGATCTTGATCGCGCTCTGGTTGTCGCAGTGCAGGCGAAAGGTGGGCGAAGTTGGGATTTTCGCTTCCTGTAGCAGCTCCTGCAGGTACAGACCTTCGCGAACTGCTGCTGTCGCGGCGATGTATTCAGCTTCGGCCGATGACAGAGCAACCAGTTCCTGCTTCTGCGAATTCCAGGAGATGGGGCCAGTTGGCTCCAAGCGGAAGACAAAGCCGGTTCGGGACCGTCGATTCGCTGGGTCAGCGGCATGATCAGCATCCACGTAGCCGTTGAGGTTGAAGGATGTCGTTGACAGCGTGGAGTAGGAGAGCCCGATGTCAGGTGTGGAAATGAAGTACTGCAGGGCGCGCTCCAAGTCCAGCTGGTTCTCGGCTATTGGCTTGCGTGAGTACTGTGCCAGTTGGCTGGCGATGTACGAGAGGTCGGGTCGGCATGTGACAGATGCGAACAGCAGGCCGCCCAGTTGCTTCTGGTACAGTTGGAGTCCGGCAGGGGACAGAGGCTTGTTGTCCGGTTTGTAGTTGGTGCCGGGGTTGCGGTAGGGGGTTGAGAGTGGTGCGCGTGGGATGTTGAAGCGCTCCCCCAGCTGCTCTGCGTATTTTGAAGCTGACAGATGAATTGCTTCTGGCGCGTAGGTGATGTTCAGGCCCAGAAACTGAGTGACTTTGTGGTTGATGGTGATGTCCACGCGCTTTGCCAGATTTTCTTCGAACTGATTAAGGAGCAGGTTGCAGGTGCCAGTGTACAGCAGGTCGTCGACATAGACGGTGAGGAGGATGTAGTCGCCGTTGAAGTGAAGGCGGTACATTCCCGGGTCGTGCGGCAGCTGTCTGAAACCGATCTCGAGCGGGATCTTGTGCAGATGCTGCTGCCAGAGACGAGGCGCTTGCTTGATCCCATAGAGGGACTTCTTCAGTTGACAGACCCTGGGATCACCTTCTCCGTAGGTGTGTGGCTGCTCCACAAAGATGGTGGCGTCCACCAACGCGTATAAAAACGCGTTCTTCACGTCGATCTGTCGCAGTGGCAGATGCTTAGCGGCGGCAATGGCGAGTAGAATTCGGACTGAGGTGTGACGGCTGACGGGAGCAAAGGTTTGATCGAAGTCAATGCCGTGGCGCTGGTCGTATCCTCGTACGACCCACTGGGCCTTAAAACGCTCGATAGTGCCGTCAGCGTTAGTTTTCAGACGAAAAACCCACTTGCCGCTCAGTACCCTTCTCCCCTTCACTGCTGCACGATCGACCAGAACCCAGGTGCTACGAGATTCCAGCGCCTCTAGCTCCGCATCCATCGCAGCACGCCACTCCTTGGCGTGGGGGCCGGTTAGGGCCTGGCGAGGGTTCTTTGGTTCTGCAGCTCGGGCAAGGGTAGAGACGGATGCGTGCAGGCCGAGAAGCTGGAGGCCTGACACGGTGGTGGTGCCTGTGGTGGTGGGAACTTCCACCACATCGTCGTCTCCGCTTTCGTAGCCGGGTGTTGCGGCGCGTGGCTCTGCTTGTTGCCGTGATGGTCCTGGCGCGGGGTCGTCGTCACTGTCATCGTCGTCGTCGTCGCGCGGGCGAGGCGGGACGCTGGGATGTTCGTCGGTATCGACGCGGTCCAGAACTGCTGCTGCTGCTTCATCTTCCGGAGTCGCAAAGCTGCGGCCGCTGTTGACATAGCCGCGTGCCTGGTTTCGGCGTTCGTCCTCGATCCACTGCTTCAGGGTAAGTCGTTCGTAGAAGAGAATGTCGCGCACGGGAACGATCTTGTTACTGTCAATGTCAAAGATAAGCCAACCTTTGTGCTCGTGACTGAGCCCCAGATGAATTCCCCAGCGCGCACGATGAACGAACTTGCCAATTGTGGCCGAGGTCGGCCGATATTGCACCATACACCCCCAAACCCGCAGCATGGAGGGGTCTCCCCTTGAGCCGGTCCACTTCATGTAAGGGGATAGGTTGTCCCTGTTGGCGGTGGTGGAGAGGAGGTTGTGCAGGCGCACCGCGTGGTTCATGGCGTAAGGCCAAAA